TAAATATGCAAAAAAAAAAAAGGGGGGGTAAGACTCTTTCAGCACATGCTAAAAACAGAATTTTTCAACAATTAAGTCATATTTACATATGGAGATAGTTTAATCCTCCTCTCAATTATCTAGCAATTGAGTAACATGACAAGATAATTGATCAAAGGATCTATAAATTTGAGTCATTTAGAGCAGCTTGCGTTTCACAGCCAATATACGATACCAAGGAAACCATCAAAACAGGAAATATCACACAACACGAGAGAATCGAGCTGTGGTGAATTTGTACTTTTCGGTTTTGCACAATGATTTGCAGATGTCCTTTGAAACATGTGGCCAAGCAAGGGCATCTTGGGCCATGCTCAGCCTTCAGGGGACCTAACCTTGCAGCCATCGAGATTAGGGAGCCCCCATGGAGCTGCTTAGCTGCTGCCAGAGTAGATGAACTGGTGGGAAAGGTGTTTCAAATTATTCCATCCTGAAGAGAAAACAGCTCCACAAAGTCATTAGTGTAAAAAGTACTTAAGCATCTGCTCTTATTGGACGTGTTTGGTTTGATTTTACTTCTCTGATCAGCGCCACATGGGATGGCACAGCTAAAGTTGTGAGAAGGATTTCTGTATTAACAACAGAGAATTCATGCCCCTCTGTCCTATTAACACTGTAAGGTGCCAAGGGCATAAATCATCACACTATGTGGGGAGAATTACAGTGTTATCTTTGACAAAGAGCTGCGCCCTTTCATGACTAAAACCGGATGCAAAATTTCTCATTCTGGGGAACTTTTTTCAATAAGGGGGAGAAATGCTGGCTCTAAAATCTCACACACCATATTCCAGCAATTCTATTTTTTGAAAGAAAGAAGTTGAAAAGTTTAAACAAGTTGGCGAGAAGTCAAAAATATCATTCTGATTTTTATGAATGTTTACAATTTGAATCTACATTTGTTTTCTGAATGCAAGAACCTTGGGCACTGAGCCAGCCTGAGAGGCTACAACCCCAATTCTGCCTATTTTTCCAGTGCTACCCCATTCTATAGCTGGATGGCCAGTGGAAAGGTGAACTCTGGAAATTTCTGGAAACACAAACACAGCCTCTACCTCAGTCTACGATCTGCTAGCAGCAAAATTAGAACCACTTCTGTAGTGATGAGCGTAATGCCAGAAAAGGGAAGCCCAGTGTTTTCAGCTCGTAGATTTGACAGTTGTCATGGTTCCATGAGACAGAACGGTGGCTTCTTTTCTGTGAGAAATTTCCCCATATGAATAATCCCTATTCATCTTTTAGAGGGTGGTTATTTACCCAAGAAATGGATTCTCAGCTTTACAGAATGAACCACTAAGATATTCCTCTGAACGGAGAGCTTCATGGGTGACACTGAAGTGCTGTTTACAGACACCTGTGAACTTGGCATAGCAAAAGAAAAAAAGGCACATACCTCTCAGAAAGGAGAGGGTAAGTCACTGGCAAAATTCAACTGTCTTCACCAAAAGTGTGCATGCATATGGCTCTCCAGGAATACTATCCATCACATCATGGTGTGTACAGTGACAGCCCAGAGCCCTCTCAACACCCTAAACACTGGTTTTCAAAGTTTGGCCCATCATAGCTGAATTTTCCCAGCAGCTTGTGAGCATTTTCAATTCCTGAGCCCCATCCTAAGCACACAAATCAGTTATCTGGTGGTGACCTGCCTTTGAAGCAGGCGATTACTTTTGATAAGTTTGAGAACCACTTCTCAGAAGCAGAGTATCTAACTGTGGTGTATGGCTATACATATAGCAGACTCCCCCCAAACTTGGAAGAGTCTGTGCAGATAACAAGTGCTCAGCAAAAATTATTCTTATCATTATTATTATTATTATTATTTGGAATAAGCATTTAAAAGCCTTTTGACAGGGCATCCTAATAGAAAAACAGAAAAGCCAGGTGGAGATGTGGCCACGCCTTAAAAATACACAGCACTGAGTCATTCATTCACACACCTTTGGCTTCCCTCTTGCCAAAGATACTTGAAACGATTTGAAAGTGAGGTCTATACCTCACCACAAATGACAGCTGAGACACAGTCATAACCCTTTTGTGTGGGAATCTGTCTCAACTGCCCTGTGTTTTTAGTTCTTTCTTGTGGCCAACTCTCTGCATGACAACAAAATTTATAAATTGGATTTTACTAAGAAGGGAAGCTAAAACCGAATGAGGATGATGGGTTTAGATTGAATGCAGTCATGAAAAGTTGCCATGCAAAAAGAGTAGCTTGTTCTCATTCATTCTTCCAAGTTCACTTGATGTGGCAGACGACTGACTCTGGTTTGCAGGAAATCCTAGAAGCAAGTAGGAGATAGGCCCACATGTTTGAAGGGTGCTGCAGCTATTTAAACAGCAAGCTTGGGAACAGGAACGTTCTCAATCTACACCAGAAGATTTTTATTTTTTGATCTTTCAGCTAGTAATGTTGATGGATTATGAGAGCAGAGGCTAAATGTAATAAGGGGTCTGAACAAAACCAGACTTGTTTTTTGAAAAAGGAAATGGAATATAAAGTAACTCATTTATCCCCAGATTGAGTCTTGAAGAAGCCATCTTATCTGCCACAAATCAGGCCTCATAAACAATTTCTAATATCTGTGTTAGCATTTTCTCTCTCAGGGGGAGGTACAAAAATTATTTCAGTGAAATTCTGAGAACCTATAATTACAGATGTTAAAAGGAGGAAGAATGTTTTTGCCAAGACTGTTTAGCAGGAAGTGCGGCCACAGTAAATAGAAAAAGGCAAAAATGAATTGAAGCTCTCAAGGGATCAGATTGCAAAGGCAACAGAAATGCCCCATTATGGGACCAATGGGAAGGGCAGAGACAAATAAGAAATGCTATTAACAAGTATCTTAATCAACACATACTACAGGCAAAGATAAGTTACACAATAACAAATTTTAATTCAAATAACCATTGTTTTTTAATCAAACACCTACTCTATGCAAGGAACACTGTTGACTTGCAAACGAGTATTAGGCCTATATATTTAAATCTCATTTCCTTTAGAGCAGCCCATTGTGTTTTACTAAAGTGTATGAGTCAGGTCATCAAGTCACTCTGAGATACATGACAAAATGCAGATTCATGGGTTGGAAGCATTTCTTGGAGCCAAAATTTAAAACTCTTGAGTATGGCTAATGCATAACATACCAGACAGAAATAAGCTTTGCTCACTTGGTCATGCCTACTCCACATTCCAGAATCATATTTGGATAAAGTCTACTAAATACAGTTTCTATATGTTTATCCCCCTATGTCTACCTAGGACATTCTTTAACTTAGCACTGTATGAATAGCCAAAGGGTATATTAAAAATAGTTGAGCCCTACTTCTATAATAAGTATTATATGTAACCTTAATCCATTTATCTTCAGCAAACTTTAAAGTTTAGTAAAGACGAATTGTCTAGAGCAGAGACACAAGGTCTAGGGTAGCAACCATGAGGACATATATTCTGGCCGCCGCCTTCACTGGTGTCTATGCAGTATCCAGCATTGTGCCTGATGTAACTAAACATTCGGTAAATATTTGAGAGATGAGCAAATGAATGAACAGAGAGACCGAACGTACCTACTAGAAAGTTATAAGTTGCTAATATCAAACAGCAGTAGGGCTGGAAGCATGGATTCCCAAATGCGAATCAGCAGTGCTGGGCCAAGGAGACAGTCCATGTGGGGAGACTGGCTACATATGGAGGGACTGAGCAAACAAATATATCAAGGATAGTGGGAGCCAGGGTTCTCACTGCTGGAAAATAAAAAGCTATAAATATGGAAATAAGGTTGGTTTTTAAAAGTATGTAGTATTAGGTTGGAACTGTGGGTATCAGTGTAAACTCATGTTGTTAAAGATAGATGATAGATAGATAGATGATAGATAGATAGATAGATAGATAGATGATAGACAGATAGATAGATAGATAGATAGATAGATAGATAGATAGATAGATAATGTGTGTGTGTGCCAGTTCTGTCTGCTGAGAACCCCTAAAAGCAATGACATCACAGTAACAATGAGTACATCTGGAGTCCATATCTTGGTTACTCAATGCCATCCTCCAGTAAAAGGAATTAAAGCTCCTTGAAGAACTGATTCCAGGCAAAGTATAAAATGAGCCTGAAACATCTTTCTGTGGCAGAATATAATAAAGTACTCAAAGAATGACAGAGGTGTCTCAAAGGGACACAGAAGCCAGCTTGAAGAAACTCTGAATGCCCAAGTTTGGGACAATTTGAGCATCAAAATGCTTAATGCTAGTAACTGATTATAACCCATTGAATAAAACAGGAATTCATTGCTACATAATGATATAAATGACAAGGGTGACATTTAAGTCAACATCTGAGTAAGAAGAAGAAGCCGACTATGTGGAAATCAGAGGCGTGAGCATTCCAGGCAATGGGAACCTAGAGTAAAGGTCCCTTAGTTAAGATGACCTTGGCATATTAGAGGAACAAAGAGAAGGCCAGAGTGGCTGAAGGATGCATGGCAAGCACAGGAAGAATCACATGAGATAGATGGAGAGGTTGACAAGGTCTAGACCAGATGGAGCATAACCAGTGCAAGAAGGTTGGAGTTTATTCCCAGCATCAAGGGAAGCCTTCAGAATGGTTAAAACATGGTTTGACTGGCATTTTTTAAGCATCTCTCCAGTTGCTGTGTAGAGAAAGGACTATATGGATATAAGTGTAGAAGCAAAGAAACTAATCGAGCAGTTACTGCAGCTGTTCACGTTAGAAAAGATGACAGTATGTAGTAGACTGATGTGTTGGAGGTAGAAGAAGTGGGCAGTTTAGGGATGAATTCTGAAAGAAGTGTTGGCAAGTCTTGCTGATACATTTGACATAGAGAGGTAAAGAAAAGAGAACATCAGGATAGTTCCTTGATTTTTGGTTTCAGCAGCTAAGTGGATGACAGGGCTATTTACAGCGATAGGATGATTGTGAAAGAAGCAGATTTGGGAGGGAAAGGAAGTATCAGCCGTTTTGTTTTGACCATGGTAATTTGGGCATCCTATCAAACATCCACGTGAAGATGATGCCTGTGACAACTGGATATAGAAACTCTGAGAGTCAAAGCAAAGGTCAGAGCTAGAGACACGGGTTTGGGAGTCGTTGGTGTGCAGATTATATTGAAGACCTTACGATTGGATGAGATCATACACAGGAAAAAATATTGCTTGGGATTAGAAGGCAGCTCGGGAATGTGTCCCAAGAGCCTCCAGCATTTACAGGTCTACCAGGGAGGAAGAGCCAGAGGAGCCAAAAGGAAGAGCCAGAGAGTTGGGAGAAAAACCAGGCGTATGTGGCATCATGGAAGTCAAGGTATTTTTTTAAAGGTCTATCAAAAATGAGGCAATATCGTATAAAGTAAAACCACTGGACTTGAGAGCATGGAGGTAATGGTGCCTTGACATGAGCAGTTAGAGGAGTGGGGACAGAAATCCAACTGCAATGAGTGAAGCCAAGAACTGAAGCGAGGGAGTGAAGATAGCTCTTACAGACGACTCTTAAAGAAGGTTTGCTCTCAAGGGGTACAGAGAAAAGGAGCAGAAGCTAGCAGGATAAAATGGGATCATGTAAAGTTTGTTTTTTATTTTGTTCTTTAAACAGGAGCTTTCAGAGCACATTTTTTGCTCTAGTTTGTATCCCTTAGACCAGGGATCCTCAGCCTCCCTAGGGGACCACACAGTAGGATGTGAGCAGCGGGTGAGTGAGTGAAGCTTCCATGTATTTATGGCCGCTCTCCATCACTCACATGACCACCCAAGCTCCGCTGTCAGATCAGCAGCAGCATTCGATTCTCATAGGAGCAAGAACCCTGTTGTGAACTGCACGTGTGAGGGATCTAGGTTGCCAGCTCGTTGTGAAACTCTAATGCCTGATGATCTGCAACTGTCTCCCATCGCTCCCAGATGGGACCATCTCCTTGCAGGAAAACAAGCTCAGGCTCCCACTGATTCTACATTATGGTGAGTTGTATAATTATTTCATTACATATTACTATGTAATAATAACAGAAATAAAGTACACAATAAATGTAATGCACCTGAATCATTCCAAAACCATCCCCCACTCCCACCCCAAGACCATGGAAAAATTGGCTTCCATAAAGCTGGTCCCTGGTGCCAAAAAGGCTGGAGGTCACCACCCTAGACAGAGTAGGGATGCTGGAGACGCAGCCAGTGACGCAGGAGGGGAAGTATTGGTAAGAGCTCATGAGCTGAAAAGTGGTACAGAGTACAAATAACTCCTTGAGAGGATGAAGGGCAGTTTATGATACAAGAAGGAAAAGAAAGGGGTATGGGGTAGATTAGCTGCCAAAAAAAGTAAAAAAACTACTACTTAGTTGCTTCTATTTTTCTGATGCAGAACGAAGCCGGGTCCCAAGATAAGAACAGGGAGGGAGGGAGGAGGAGAAGGCATAAAAATAGTAAATTTGCAGCATAAGAAAGTGAAATAAAGAAGATTTGCTGCTACGTTCAGTGTTCATTTGAGATGTGGGGGCAAGGATTTAAAGCGAGAAGAGTTAGCACCGAGAACAGCCAAGTGCAGACACAGAGTAGGTAGTTGGGTTTTAACCAGGATTGGGGCTCTCCTGGCCAAGTTTGGTGAGGGAGGAGGTATGAAAGGATTAGGGTGCTAATGTCCCTAATGAAAGGGCATGGCCGTTAAGCTGGAGACAGAAGGCAGTGAGGGCACTGAGGGAGGTATTAAAGTGCTGGTCAGTGTTTTATCAATAGTCAATTCGTTAACAAGGCAGAAGAATCACTAGTGAGTATTAGAGTAGGTTAGCTAGGGGACAGAGGAAAGGGACTGAGATTATGGTCTCAGGAGTGGGTAAAGAAAAAGGTCATTGGAGGTGACGTGGTGGAAGAACTGAGAGGCCAGTTACATTTAAGATTAAAAATTCATTTTGGATAGGCTGCATGAAGAAAATGTGGCACATATACACCATGGAATACTATGCAGCCATAAAAAATGAGTTCATATCCTTTGCAGGGACATGGATGAAGCTGGAAACCAACATCCTCAGAAAACTGACACAGGAACAGAAAACCAAACACCGCATGTTCTCACTCATAAGTGGGAATTGAATGATGAGAGCTCGTGGACACAGGAAAGGGAACACCACACGCCGGGGCCCTTTAGGGGTGGGGGCTAAGGGGAGGGATAGCATTAGGACCAATAACTAATGCATTAAGGGGGTTAAAACCTAGACGATGGGTTGATAGGTGCAGCAAACCACCATGGCACATGTATACCTACGCAACAAACCTGCACATGCAGCACATGTATCCCAGAACTTAAAGTAAAATTTAAAAAATAAAAAAATCAAATTTAATTTTAAAAATTCATTTTGAAATTTGACAATATCTCAGCTTGCTAAATGAACTCTGCTTCCATGCCTTCCCCACACTTTCCAAAATCTAGGATGATTAATTAGAAAAGAATAAGACCTAAGGTAAATAAACAGAAAAACAATTAGACTACCTACTTCGTAAGCGGGTAGTCCCGAATTTCAAAACTCTGTTAATTCTGTTCTACCCAGGGACCCAACTGTTCCTCACAGAACCCTTTTTTCAAGCAGCACGCTTTGGAAAATGCCCATCTAATGCTTTTGGGTAGAAGAGCACAAAGATCTTTGTAAAAGCAACTTTTTCACTACATCTGTGGGGTAGACCAGTTGGTTAAAATGTACATTTTCCCCCCTAAGTTTCATAAACGGACAAAATGAGCTGCCTAATTTGTGTTGGTCTCACTAAAACTGATAATAAAATCCAATTTCTAAATCTTAAACCAAAGAATCGCTTTTAATAACCAAAATGGAGTTTAGTTGATTGCTAAGTTTACACCATTTCTGCTACTGTCACTGCCAACTTCATGGACATCTGACACAGAGTCCATCTGGTGATCATCTTGAAAATTCTTGATCATTTTCTCTTTGAATGTTTTTCTCCTAAGTGAAGTCCTGCGGAACAATGACGCGTGCACCAGGGTTGGGGCCTGTGCTCCTGCGCAGTGCCCCCTCACCACCTCCCTGCCTCCCGGGGATGGGTTACCTGCCAACCCACTCCTGCCCCCAGCCCAGGGATCTCTGTCACCCCAGCCCTGGTGGGAAGCTGGACGCAAACACAGCAAGGGTTGAAGTTGAGTGCACACTCACACACCAAATTTCGGGGAGGAGCTCCAGGCACTTGTGAGTCTATACTTGCCCAGAGAATATCCCTGTGCCTGAGAGATGGGTCAATAAATAGCCAACAAAGAACCCCGTGATACACAGGGGCCAGGGGTGAGGGGGCTAGGGGAGGAATAGCAAGGGGGGCGGGGATTGGGAAGGGATAGCATTGGGAGAAATCCCTAATGTAGATGACGAGGCGATGGATGCAGCAAACCACCACCATGGCACATGTATACCTGTGTAACCTGTGTGATCAGCACGTGTACCCCAGAACTTAAAGTATAATACACAAGTTTTTTTTAAAAAAGAACCCCATGATAGATTGGGTAAGAGAGAGAGAGAGAGACAGAAGAAAGAGAAATTTATTTCCCCCTGAGTTTTGGACAAGAGGTCCTGAAATTTCATTGTGTCCTGTGCTCCACAAATTATATAGCCAGCCCTGGCCATTTAGCAGGTACAAACATACTGATGAAGAAAGAGGAGGAGATGGAGGTTGCAGTGAGCTGAGATCGTGCCAAAAAAAAAAAAAAAAGACGCAGAAGGAAGAGGAGGGTGAAGGTTACAAAAAAAAAAAAACAAGAGGATAAAGAAGGCAAAGGCAAGGCTTATATTAGGAAGCTAATACTTTCACACCACTTATTAAGTGTCAAGCAGTGTGTCCAAGTACTTCACATGCTCCAGCGTATATAATCCTCTCTACAATCCTTTGAGACAAGTTCTATTATTGCCCCATCGTACAGATGAGGAGAGAGCAAGGCCCGGAGAGGTCAGGTCATTTGCCCAGGGTTTCCCAGGCGGTCAGTGGCAGAGCCATGCTGTATACCCAGAGCATCTCACTCCCGAGTCTGTGTTCTCTGCGCTCTCATTCTGCCTCTCCGCATTTTATAGCAATTACATATACTTGTACCTGCATCTCGGTTTTCACACTTTCCGAATATGAATCCACTTTGCTTACATTTGTCTTTCCATTCATAAAGCTTTTCTTAAAAATTGACCTCTGCTTTAGTAAGCCACAGCTAATAGAAGTGCTGAATAAAGTCGACTCTGTAGAGTGAAGTGAGCGTTCTAATGTTTAAAATGTTATCTTTACTTAAACAGACAAGTGTCAGCAAGCCTAATTTATTCACCTACCAATAATTATCTTAGCTGAGGATATGGGCCCATGCTTGGCTTGGAACCTTAACATAGAACAATCTTCATATTTCCTGTATTCCAAAACTAGATCTTTATGCAAGACAGGCCAGTAGGATGCTGGCAGGATCAGGAGCTACGATTCAGCAAAGGGGAAGGGAAGCCTGGTAAGGGGAGCTTGAAGCTAGGCTCCCATGTGGCGCATGTTCTTACACGTGTTTCTTTTCAAACTGCAGGCTTTCATCCCTGTAGCCACCAACCTATCCTGGGTGGAATCCTCTGGCGTTGAAAGGCCCCTAGATTCCCTGTAATGGAATTTCCTTCTCTTTGAGAAGGGCATTAGTTTTTCACCATTTACACCCTTTAAAATTTGTGCTGACTACATGGGATTGGTTTTATATCGAGATTGCATAAAAGTGGCTTGGCATGGTGGCTCACACCTATAATTCCAGCACTTTGGGAGGCCGAGGCAGGTGGATCACTTGAGGTCAGGAGTTCATGACCAGCTGGGCCAACATGGCAAAACCCCAACTCTATTGAAAATACAAAAATTAGCCAGGCATAGTGGCACATGCCTGTAAACCTAGCTACTCAGGAGGCTTAGGTATGAGAATCACTTGAACCCAGGAGGCAGAGGTTGCAGTGAGCCAAGATCGCACCACTGCACTCCAGCCTGGATGATAGAGTGAGAGTCAGTCTCAAAAAAAAAAAAAAGAAAAAGAAAAAAAAAAGATTACATAAAAGAAAAATAAATGCTATTTGTAACAAAAAGATTTATAAAGGGTAATGTTTTCCATTATAATAAATACAAAAAAGCCTAGCCACCTTCCCAGCCTCCTGCCACCTAGAGGTTTGCATCAATTAAACAAACACATGGAATAACACTTGAAGCAGACCAAGGAAATAATAAAGACACAGACTCCAGGGACGCCCACTCTACCTTTCTGGTGCTGCCTTTGACCTTGATGGGGAAATGGTAGGGCATCCCTGAGAAGAGTGAGCAGGGCTGTGAGGATCGGTAGAGCGGAGGAGTCACCTGTATCCACCGTCACCTTCATCACCTCCAGATGAACGCCGAAAGGCACCGTGTGGATGGAGGCCTAGAAATAGCATTTTCACAAGTACCTGAAAGTCCAGCCTCCTCTTTATCTTTTGTTCAGAGAATAACAAAGAAAATGCTCCCACTAGGAATCTAGGGAATCAAAGGATGACATACCTTTGCTCTCTTTTACCCTAAAGTTACTTTGCAGTTTGCCAACACTGAGGGGTAAAAATACTCTAACTTATGGATAAAGGTATTCTATGTAAATGAGTGGCACAAGTGAAAGATACATAAGATGTACAGGAATTACTCTATAAGATAAACAAACCCTTTTTGCCCTTATCAGTGAGTGTTTCAGCTTCCCTTTGACCCACCGGTCTTCTATACAGGCCATGTAATATGGCAGACCTAATAGGAGATGCCATTTTCTTCCTTTCCATCCACTGGAGTTTTTTCTTATGGCTCCCTGTCTTTCTCGAGCTAGGGAACAGGTTTCAAGGTACATTCTAGGCCCTGACCTTAAAGGAACTAGGAGTATTGGAATGACCTTATGTGTCACTCCACCCAGTGAATTAGCACATTTAACATACAGATA